TCTCTTAGGTGCTCAGGCATGAAACTGTGCCGCTCAAACACTATACTTTTCCGCTCACACTGAAAAAAAATTAGAGGGAACATTGCTGGGCAGACTTGCAGACTTTTGCGGAGGTAACCTACAACACAGTGCATAGTAGCACAGAACTGACCCCTTTCCAGGTCACCAGTGCCATGGAGTTTGTCCCCATGTCTGAATTACCCAGCGAGTCGCCCTACAACACTCCAACAACATCCAAACAGTTAGACAAAATACATATATAACATTTTGGCTAAAACAGTGTATTACAACAGAATATGCAATGCGTGCTCCAGCTACCTATGTGTACAAAAGAGGTCAAAAGTAATAACTGGAGTAGTAAAAAAATTACATTATTAGTGTAAAATTCAGGTAATTATGGGCAAATAAAACACTAAAATAATCCCAAAGGTTTTTGTAAACTTGTTTACATTTTCCTGTCAGACTTGAGAATATACACAATAGAGTAACTGATATAGCATGTATTCCCCTAGATATAAACACCTCCAAGGGTGTAAATAACCAAGAGTTATCCATACTGTTATCTATACTGCTTATCCATACTCGACAGGTTCAGTTGCTTTTAATGCCACCACACAAAACCTAGCCACCTAGTAAGTTTTTTTTTCAGTATATCAGAAAGCAGAAATTGTACATAATTTAAATTGGCAAATCCTGTTTTGATGGTCGTAAATGGAATAACTAGAGGACTTTGAATATAAAAAGAGCACTTCAGAAAAACACGTTTAGTATTTCAACCTGTCCTGAGTTACAAGGACATATTCATAGTCGGTACGGTATCATTTTGTACTTTCTAGTCAGAAGTAATGAGAACATTACATTTGGGATGACGGTACTTGACAAGCTTTGTTTTGATGATTTATGTCAAGCACACATGATCTGTGGCTGTTGCTTGGTCATAGTCCAGAGATAATAATTGGGAGAAAATCCAAGTAGTGAGAGCTTGAAGAGGTGTGTGTTTCTACAATCTATCTGAAATTGGTACAGCCTACATTATTGCATGCCCTGATATTGCATTTAAAAATTTTTCTCTATATATTTTATATCAGCAATCAAATTGAAAATAGATTTTCTGCAACGCTACATTTGAAAGCCTTGTAAAGATATATTCTATAACATTTATAACCCTTACCGGGCAATGCCTACAATTACGAAATGAGGGACATGTTAAATGCCATAGAAATATCTGGAGTTAGGAGGGGGAAAAAAGATGGCACGCTGCTGAGTTTTAACAAGAAGGGGACATAGGAACTAGATGTGATTCATTTTTGTTTTTATTTTTTTTATTTTTTTTACAAAGCAATGATAAAAATTACATGAGATAAATGTTTAAAGACATCTCAGGAAGTCACCAGAATGGATGCTGCCTAGGCTCTGCAGATCCAACCAAGGTGCTGAAAAGCTGAGGCAACAGTGGTCCCTGCCAAACACAGATGTGAAATGGAACCGAGGACTCCAAGATTTCGCTTACTAGGATCTATAAAAATAAGACAGAATATCCATATGGCGTAATACAAATAGCAACATTAACAACTGTTGTGCAAAATTAATTTCTGAAATGCTTTCTTTTCATCCAATAAGTTCTTCTAGATGCTTCAAGGAAATTGTTGTCATCTTCATATACAAAAAACCACCCTTATTACTTATTTATATGACACTATCCGATAACCTGGCGTTGCCCAGGTATTTATTTATAGGGCGGAAATGTCCGGACCAAACATAATTTCTAACATTGGATTTTCCCCCTTACCAGAGGGAGCCTCCTTGTGGAGTACTGTGAAGCCGTTACCATGGCAACTCCACTGTGCTGCACAGTAGAAGCCATTTTATGGCAGTACAATAGAAGCCATTTTAAGGCACAACAGGCTGTATATTAACAGTACACCCAAGGGGTTTTCGGGGTATCTTACCCCCACACTATTTTTGTCCAGAGAATAAGTCTGTACATGCTTTCCACTCATGGCACATGATTCCCAATTTTAAATAAAGGGCTAAGTATCTGCATAGCATTTTTAACTCATGAAGCATTGTTTTCCCAATCACTAGCCCCAGTAGGATGGTCACTTTTACATTTTTGATAGCTGGCTGAGTACAAGAAAAAGCTAAGCAACTAGACATTCAGATATACACATTCAAATTTTCCTCTTCTCTGTTTCTCTAATGATGATTTTCATTCTATTCTCTAGGGCAGAGGTAGTCAACCTTTTTATACCTACCGCCCACTTTTGTATCTCTGTTAGTAGTAAAATTTTATAACCTCCCACCGGTTCCACAGTAATGATGATTTATAAAGTAGGGAAGTAACTTTACTTTATAAAATTTATAAAGCAGAG